TGTGATGGATTTTCAGCCGTCACCAAATGTTCTCAACCACTGATTCCTATCGTCTCAAGGACCCCAAACACAACTCATACCAAAGTAAGGAACTTCATGGATTGATGCCACATTGGACCCTCTTCTAGCCGAATCCAACTTTTCTTAGCTCTTGTTAGTATTGATCGACTGGCTCAAAAAAAAGAAGAAGCAAGTACAGGAAGCAGAATTCTCCCTTGAAAGGAAACTGGATCTGATCAATCTAACCAATACCCCAACTTTCAAGCAATCAACAAGGGAATTGAATTCGCTTCCATCCATTCTAATATGCGTCAACTAGATAGTATCATAAGTCCCCTATACATTAGATATGTCTCATAGATCCGTATGTATATAAACACGCATGCTTCAGAATTATCAGTGCAGTCACTTTCGTAGATATAATAGATTCCAACTCCTTCTTAAGAAACTTCATATTAAGCTAGTAGGGTATAAATTAAATTCTCATGCATAAAATGCAACTGAAAACCTAATTAGACGAGATTGTAATGGTAAATAAAAATGCACGAAGTGTCGACTAGTCCGATACTTCATGAAACACATCGATTGTTCGAAGGTTATTATTATTATTCCCTTGTGTTCCTAGTGGAACATACCACTTCAGTAGCACATCTCCATTCCACTCTCTTCTCTATAGTCTTTTCAACCTGGCTCCATGACTGCTCACAACCCTTCATTTCTTTCTCACATCATCTCTTCCATGTCACCCTTGCCTCGGACACCCAACTCGTCGTTTCCTCTTTGGATTCTACTCGACGGTTTGGCCTGGCGCGTGATGTCCTCAATCGGCCTTCTCAGTGTATGCCCAGTCCAATCCATCTCCATTTTCTTCTTATGCATATTTGTTGGGTGATATGTTGTTGGTTGGTTGGTTGGTTGCCAGCCACAGTGAGTTCCTTGTTCCTTATTCTTATTATTCTGGCCATCTGATCTGATCTTCAGTATCGAGTCAGCGTAGGCAGTTGTTGATGAATGTTTGTAGCTTTCTGGAAGTGGTTTTCGTGACGCGCCAAGTTTATGAACCATATAGGAGCACTGACTTGACATTGGTGTTGAAAATCCGGATATTGTTCACGCTTTATGCTGAGTGCAGTAGATCTCCACGCTGATTTTAGATTATTGAAAGCCTGTCTTGCTTTTCCGATCCTGGTTAACGATACTTTATTTACGTGACGAAACTTTAGAAATTGAAAAGCAGTGGAATGTGTCAACCACTTGAGGAGTTGCATCAGCACGAACGGGCTGCATGCTGACGAAGTTATCACCTTGGATACAGAAGGCCTGTTTAGCATCTGCCAACATGTGTCACCTGTGACGCTTGACTGGTGAGATGTCCGACTACCTCTCTATCAAAAGACGAGTATACTGCGCTGTTGTCTGGCTGTGAGACATGGCAGTTAAAAGTCGAAGATATGAAGCGATTGCTGGGTTTTGATCACAGGTGTCTTGGCAGCATTCCTCCCCTTTAATAGAATAATTATGTGAGTAATGTTGAGGTCAGGTGAAGGGTACTGGGCAAGACTCAGGGTGTGAACCTTAGTCGACTGCACATGTCGAGCCAGTATCCACCTGGAGGTGCCCCATGCTACGGGAAGTTGGATTAGGTTGGTATAAGGCTCAAGATGGTCAAATCAAGACATAACACTAGTTTATGAAATCCCTAACTGTTTATGTAAGCCGTATGCGGAAGTGCAGACAAAACCGGTGATTGTGAGGAGCTTTTTGAAGTGGTCAGCCCATCCTTTGCTTTGTTTCTCCTCTTTGCTAACTAAGTTTCCTTCACTATTTTTCATTGGTTTCATCTGTGTATATCTCTGTCCTCCCAGATAGTAACCTAGTTATTGGATATAATGTCAGGTCTCTGTCTCTCCTACCCGCAGCCTATCCTGCTTCACTTGCCAATGTGTCGTAGAAGTATCTTCCGTCTTTGCACGCATTCTCTTTCACTTGTTTGTCCAGTGTAGTGTTTTATTGGCTGTATTCAGGTCCTCTTTTGCTGTTCATCCCTGCCTGCACTGGTTCATCTTCTCCTTCTCCTTCACCATCACCATCACCATCTTCCTCTCTCTGCTCTATCAGCTTCCATGTGTACGTCGAGATCCACTCCTTGTCTTGCATCATCTTCCTGCCTTATACGCCTATGCAGGTTTCCTTCCATATCTCTTCCAAAGAGTCCCAGTGTTCTTCCACGCCCGATCCTTCGGGATGTTGCTTAATGTCTGCTTCACTTGCCAATGTGTCGTAGAAGTATCTTCCGTCTTTGCACGCATTCTCTTTCACTTGTTTGTCCAGTGTAGTGTTTTATTGGCTGTATTCAGGTCCTCTTTTGCTGTTCATCCCTGCCTGCACTGGTTCATCTTCTCCTTCTCCTTCACCATCACCATCACCATCTTCCTCTCTCTGCTCTATCAGCTTCCATGTGTACGTCGAGATCCACTCCTTGTCTTGCATCATCTTCCTGCCTTATACGCCTATGCAGGTTTCCTTCCATATCTCTTCCAAAGAGTCCCAGTGTTCTTCCACGCCCGATCCTTCGGGGATGTTGCTTAATGTCTCCTATTTTGTCCTAATGGCTGACGTGAAGAGGTCCTTGATAGTTCCGTCCTTGAGTTCAGTTTCTGTTCCGGATGTTGAACTTGAACTGTGGTCGTCTATTACCAACCTCTTTCTAGGCTTTCAACTCGATTTTGAAGGTGGGTTCCTTGCACTATACAGTGAGTGGTGTGAGCCTACATCTGCCTCCCTTCTTGATCTTGTGTGAAGTAGGCTGCGTCTCCACTTTCTTGAGATTGAGATGAAGTCGATCCGATTTTCAGCGTGTCCATCTGGTGAAATCAAATCCATATCGCTTTGTGAATATCCTTGTGTTTTTACACACTGCCTCCAATCGCTGAATGCGCAGAAATCTGCAAACAGTTCGCCATTCTCATTCATTTCACCGAGCGCTACCCGACCTATGATCAGTTCTGTTACTGTATTGTCTGCTCCCAGTTTGGCATTCATGTCACCTCACCCATTAGAATTTTGATGTCACCTTCTAGAGTCTTGTCTATTACTGATTACAGTTTTCTGTAGAATTCCTCCTTTTTTTCTTGATCTGAGTTATTTGTAGGTGCGTAGCGTAGCACTGTATGCATGTGACTTTCCTTCCTTTTGAGTTGAATCTTGCTGTCATGATCCTAGAGGAGGAGATTGGTTCCCACTGTATGAGAGCCTTCGATGCTCTCGGGGACATCATGATAGCCACTCCAAAACTCAGTGTGCTCGTGGCTGTCGATTGGGTGAGAATATCGGAGTAGATTATCGACTCTTCAGTTGACAGTTTGGAGAGTCCACTTCCATTGCATCTGTAGATTCCTCGCAGATTCCTAGCACTTCAATGCTATACCTTCTCATCTCCTTTGCAATTTGGGCAGCCTTGCTAGGTTCAAACATGGTGCGGGCATTCTATATCCCCATGTTTACTTTCGCTTTCATCGAGGGGAAGAAGACACATCGACCGACTGGCTTCCCGAAAGTTTTGATCAACCGGCGTCATTTCACCTCTCCGATTCCAGGGAGGAATAAGTCTTCCATATTAGATTTGTTTATTTGATATAAAGCGCAAAGTGATACAGTATTATTTACTTTTACTTTTACTTTACAAGTAAATAATACTGTATCACTATGCGCTTTATATCAAATAAACAAATCTAATATGGAATTACATTCTACCACAGTGCCCAAGTTTTTCACTTATAGGAATAAGTCTTCTTTTGTTTTTTATATTTTCTTTTTGCTTTGAAGTTTCTGTAGCGATTGGATTAGTTTTCCGTGGTAGGTTTGCTAGCCGTATGCCCAACCTTCCCTCTTTATGCGGGCTTTGGACCGCCTAGTAACGAGTAAACTGGGCGAGGTTATATATATATATATATATATATATATATATATATATATATATATATATATATATAAATTCATATGCTCCTACGGAACTGACTATACTGGAGGTTGTAAGTAGGCTGTCTGGAAACATATTGCAGAACACTGCTTGGTTTCGCTAACCACAGACAAACGAGGAATCCAATTGGAGTTACCTCATTCATTCCATCACTTATGTATAGCTGAAGAGATTTGAAAAAAGCATTTTCTGAAACTTCTTTCTCTATCTTGTCCTTAATTCATTTTGATTGGTTTATCAACTGCATTTCGTTCTTTATTCGGTTATCCAATTTTCTATTTCTTCCACCTCACCTCTACAACGACTACTATTTATATCCTGTGTATCGACTGAACAACCTTTTGCCGTATATATCCAACACTTTACCGATTACAAATATGACTGTACAGCTAGATAATAAAGTCGGTGAAATGAAATATTTCTTCACTGCTAAAAATAGGTAATCTTTTTCTACTTGTTCATCAATATTGCTACGACCTGTAGTACTACCTAACACTTTACAAGTCATAGGAGCTTAGCAGACTACAAACGATATGAACCTAACGCGCAGATGAATCGACTGTGACGCAAATCACAACGTCAACCATGAGAACAACAGTACCACTGACACGCGAAGACAAGAAAAGAAAACAGACGCTTAACAGAGAGCTTTTTACTGTGTGAACAACAGTCGATACAGTTGACAGCGATGCTGAATATATACATTCCTAAATGACCTTGACGACACGAAATCTACATATAGTTAACAACCAATGACAGTTCAGCCTTGAGAGTGGAGGGAAGAAAAACTAGTAAGGGTTTGAAGGCATCCATCTAGGTTATTTTAAGGTCATGGGCAAACAAACAGGCAAAAGCTATGCAAAATTATGGGGTACATAGCAAACATAGGTAGGTATATTTCGTTAATGAAAGTGTAATGTCGGAGGTAATAGAATTATGACCATACCTTGTCGTCTAGCCATTGTTTTGTACATATTTTTATACATCACTTTTAACCTTTTGTTTTGCTATTTTCTTCAAGGTTATCCGGATGTCATCTAACCTTTTGACTTTAATCGATTTGGCTGGACATTCTAAATATCAGCGTACAACGCTATCTGGTATTGCTTGTAATCAACCAGTAATGGGTATTTTAGTTATATCAGCAACGATCGGTTTAAGTACAATTGGATTAGAGCATATCCAATTAATTCGTTCACTAAATTTACCAATGATTGTAGTTTTAACAAAAATTGATCAATTATCTAATGGTATAGAACAAAGTAAACGTATTAATTCAATTTACCGCCAATTAGTTTATCAATTTAAACAAATTGAAAATGCTTGGTCGTATGGAATGCTATCAACATTGAATAAATCATCAATGAATGAAAAATTTTCAGCTTTGGATGGTTGGCTACTAAATTCAACCAGGTAATCAAAGTTTCCTTCCCAATGTTATTTCATATTGTTTTTGTACTCATAAAGGTGGTTTCAATTTCTTTATGATAATGGTTTCCGTAAATCTCAGTATACGTCCCTGACTGTTTCCATATAAAACTTTGAAAGCTATCTGGACAGTTATTTCGTGACGCGTTTCTATGGTGTGTCTAGCTATTCATGAATAGTGCTCGCTGAACTCTCTACACGAATATAAAAGGCTCGACTGGCTTTCGCCAACTTACACCACCTGTGGCGCCCTCGTGATATCCGATTGTCTACTAAGGGTCTCGTATACTGTACAGCAGTCCGTTATGGCTGTGAAACATGGCCTTTAAAGGTGGAAGACGTGAGAAGGCTTCAGGTGTTTGACCACCGTTACCTTCATAGTATAGGCCATATTCCGTGGTGTCACCACGTGAGTAACGCAAACGTCAGGCGTAGAGTTTTGGGGCGAGGTAAGTCAGTTGACACGGTTGTGAATCTTCATCGACTGAGATGGTTCATACATATGTTACGTATGCCTAGTCGCCAATTGCCTCGTCACACAATGTTGGTCGAAGTAAGTTCATTCTGGAAAGAGGCTTGATGTGGCCAGACTACGACATGGCATCAATGGATGAAGTGTTTGACTGTTGGTTTGAACCATGTGGGGCGATGCAGACTGAGTGATCGGGGTCCACGGGACAAGAGGAATCAGTGGTTGGCGACACTCTAGGTGATGACATGGCTGAGAACCGATGTCAGTGGCACAGATGTATACACGCATTATCCTTATCTTAACGACGCTATACCAAATCTCACCATTTTCTCATTCTTCCTTTCTCTCTCTTAGTACTTTATGTTCTTTTGATTGAATTTCCTCTTCTTCCACTTCCACTTCACTGTCTTGTTTACTTGGAGTACTGATATGAGGTGTGGTAATTCGGACTGTTATGCAGTAATGTCTGATCCTATATTGATTTCGATGGGTGGATGGATGGATGGATAGATGAAGAGGGTCATCTCCCACCAGTGTTTATCAAGGTTTCACACTCTACTTGTTTTTGAAGCCATTTAGGCACATGTTCTCCTGCCGTCAACTGCATGGCTAGATTACTCCTCCCTGTGTATGTGTGACCACATACACATGTAAATCGGTAAACACAGTGGGATGTGACGCAATCATTAATTCAGTGTTTATGTTTCTGGTGAAGTATTTGTTTTGCTTTTTCCACAATAATAAGATTAGCTACGTAATATGTTTTCCTAATGGCTGACGTCAGCCTACGTCTCAAAATGCTACTGTTCAACTCCTCTCTCTGTATAGTAGAGTGATATAAACGCTTATCTTGGGAAGTGTGTATAGAGTTGGCTTCGGTGCTAGTTGATCTGTACAACTTCTTATAAACTTCAACAGGTGTGTTTTCCATAAGTGTTTTGGTCAGTAGTTTGATATCTTCATCCATCGTATCTGATGTACTGACACAATAGATCCCATTAAACGGGCATTTTATTAAACTTCGCTTGTATTAAATTGGACAGAAACTGTGAAAATTCAGATATTTTTCTGTCCATGTAGCCTTTCTGTAAACTGACCGTCTTATCGAACGATCTTTTAGTTGACTGAGGAGTATGTCTGTGAATAATAGAGTATTATAATCCTTCTTCTCACAAGTCAGGCTGATGTGAGTTTGTATGGTGTTAAGTCTTTTTAGTGGATAAACCATATCTTCTCACCTCTCACAAATCACTATGGTGTCGTTGACATATCTCTTGTAAAGAGGAACTTTAGCGATGAGATCACTATCCAGATTTTCGATATATGACATGTCAGCTAGTAATGGTCCTAAGAGACTACTCATAGCTACACCGTCAACTTGTCGAAAGCGTTCACCTTCAAATGTGAAGTGCACTTTGTCGGTACACACCAATAATGGTTCCTTCAGAAAGGTTGGAGTAATAGGAAATTTGAGGTTTGTAGAGGATATATAGTCACAGAGGATGATACTAGTCTTGGACAAAGGCGCGTTAGAGTGAATAAAGAATTTAGATCAAAAGAGTATATACTCTTATTTCTGATATTCTTGTTACTAAGATAGTCAACAACGAAAAGAATCTTTCGATGAAAACTTACAAAATTCGTTTCGAACAGGATTGAACATTTTCACCAACCATTTCGCCAGTTTATTTGTGAAGGAATGACACAGACAATATAGGGTGTAAAGAATTATTAGCTTTATGAATCTTAGGTAATCCATATAAATTTGGAAATTCGGATGCCATAGGTTTCAATGAACTAAATTTCTCTTTGCTAATGGCATTCATATTCAAAAGCTTGCTAAATGGGAGGTTACTTTCGATTCCAATTTTATAATATCTTCTGATGGGACATCGGCTATGAATTCACCTTCATCACTGAGGATGGACAACATTTTATTCTTTTTATAGTCAAATTTATTCATTAAAACAATGTCTGATACCTATATATGGGGAATTGATGAAACAATATCAACTAATTTAACCATTAACCAACTTTGATTATCTGAAGATGTAGAGACAAGAGGACTCAATTAGTCATAGAGATTTCCAAAGTGAGTATCAATATCCAATTGAGAAATTTACGTGTGTGTGGAGCTGAGAAATTGAACCCAAGGGAAATTGCCTCTTTCTCATGAATTAAAAGTACATTATTATTATGACTATTATTATTGTTACCATTACTATTATCATTATTATTTGTCCCTTGGGTTCGTAGTGGGACATACCACTTCAGTAGCACGTCTCCATTCCACTCTCTTCTCTGCAGTCTTTTCAACCTGGCTCCATGGCTGCCCACAACCTCTCATTTCTTCCTCACATGATCTCCTTCATGTCACCCTCACCTCGAACGCCCAACTCGCCGTTTCCCATCTAGGTTCCACTAGAGTGCCTGAAGCGTGATATCCCCAAATGGTCTTCTCAGTGTATGCCCAATCCATCTCCACTCTCTTCTTCTGCACATTTGTTGGGTGATGTGTTCTTGGTTGGTTCGTTGACAACCATAGTGAGTTCCTTGTTGCTTATTCTTTATGGCCATCTGAGCTTCAGTAACGAGCCAGTGTAGGCAGTTGTTGATGAATGTCTGTAGTTTATTGGAATCGCTTTTCGTGATGCGCCAGGTCTCTGAACCATATAGAAGCACCGACTTGACTGGAGTAGTGTTGAAAATCCGGATCTTGTTCATATTTTGTGCTGAGTGCAGAAGATCTCCACACTGGTTTCAAGTTAATAAACGCCTATCTTGCTGTCTTTCCGATCCTGGCTGGTTTTGACATCCTCATCTGTGCTGCCGCCACCTGTAGTTGAGATGATAGTGCCTAGGCAGGTAGATGAAAGAGAGTACTTCCTTCAAGTTTCTCCCATTGATGTTGATTAGAGCTTGTTGTTGTTGGTGGTGGTGTTGGTTGAGTATTATCATCACCTCTGTCTTCTCTACGTTCACTTGAAGTCCCGTCTTTGCTATCCCTTCTGTCAACTTGCTAGTTTGAAAGTATAGCAGAGGACAAATTAGTCACATATCTGGATCGCATGGAAGTAAGTTTGAACGAACCCCATTGGAATAGGATCTGGACAATTTTCTCCTTGTTCTATCCTTCGTTTTACTGATAACAGAGCTACAAAAATTGATGAATTTAATGTGGCATATAAGAGAAATATCTGACAACACAGATGAAGCATCAGAATTCATTTCAGTTAAACTGCATTAACTTGTCATTGGAATTATCTATGTGAGATTTCATAAGCTAAACAAGATTTTGAAAGGTTGACTTGCAATTTAGAGGATCATAACATTTTGTAAAATTGTCTGAGAAAAAATGTGATCAGAAATTTACAACTTGTAAAATTCTATTTTCACTTTTTCAAATACGATTTTACACTTTCAGTGAAAGAAATAGTTGAACAGCACGAAAAGAATCTTCTTCTCTTCAAACGTTTGGAACAATTAGTCCCTCTACTATATCGAGGCATCCGCATAAGAGCTCATATACCAACAGAGGCTGATCAAATTCCGTCCTATCAACGATGGTGTAATACAAGCAATAACACTAAAATTAGTCCCTCTAATAAATTTTGATAGCGTAAAATTAGAAGACAAAGTTTATCATATCGATAAGATTAGACAATTGAAGTCTTCACTTGCCTAAACTTGTATGTCTATCAAATCGACATTTGTCAAATGTAGTAGTAGTAGTAGTAGTAGTAGTAGTAGTAGTAGTAGTAGTAGTAGTAGTAGTAGTAGTAGTAGTAGTAGTAGTAGTAGTAGTAGTAGTAGTAGTAGTAGTAGTAGTAGTAGTAGTAGTAGTAGTAGTAGTAGTAGTAGTAGTAGTAGTAGTAGTAGTAGTAGTAGTAGTAGTAGTAGTAGTAGTAGTAGTAGTAGTAGTAGTAGTAGTAGTAGTAGTAGTAGTAGTAGTAGTAGTAGTAGTAGTAGTAGTAGTAGTAGTAGTAGTAGTAGTAGTAGTAGTAGTAGTAGTAGTAGTAGTAGTAGTAGTAGTAGTAGTAGTAGTAGTAGTAGTAGTAGTAGTAGTAGTAGTAGTAGTAGTAGTAGTAGTAGTAGTAGTAGTAGTAGTAGTAGTAGTAGTAGTAGTAGTAGTAGTAGTAGTAGTAGTAGTAGTAGTAGTAGTAGTAGTAGTAGTAGTAGTAGTAGTAGTAGTAGTAGTAGTAGTAGTAGTAGTAGTAGTAGTAGTAGTAGTAGTAGTAGTAGTAGTAGTAGTAGTAGTAGTAGTAGTAGTAGTAGTAGTAGTAGTAGTAGTAGTAGTAGTAGTAGTAGTAGTAGTAGTAGTAGTAGTAGTAGTAGTAGTAGTAGTAGTAGTAGTAGTAGTAGTAGTAGTAGTAGTAGTAGTAGTAGTAGTAGTAGTAGTAGTAGTAGTAGTAGTAGTAGTAGTAGTAGTAGTAGTAGTAGTAGTAGTAGTAGTAGTAGTAGTAGTAGTAGTAGTAGTAGTAGTAGTAGTAGTAGTAGTAGTAGTAGTAGTAGT